TATCGACCACGTGGACTGGGTACATGTAAGATATTCGCATGAATGTCGATCATGTGAATAGGGATCGGTTGTAAATTAACAATAATAATCAGTGACGTTCCTTCCGTTGGCGGCCATAGCTATTAACGATTTGTCTTTAACCCTAAGTCTGCCGGTATAAAAAAACATGCCGGCTATAGATCTTAAAGTATATACTGCTTATAGCATGCTAAGATGTTTTTCTTCTGAATAACGATTAACATATAAAGTGATGATTAAGGTGCTTTTAGTTTAATAATTAATCTACGCTAGGTTACCATCATAATTGCACACCCATGCAATATACTGACGTCATGATATCACTATTGGTTTTCAACATGTGATATAAATGCTTCCTTGCCTAACTGATTTCACCCACATACACACACAGGAACATTGATAGTCTATGCCACATGAAAATAATTTTGCAAATCTTCACTGAAGGAAAATAAGTGGACAGAATACTTATTTGAAAGTAGCAATATTGGTAAAGTAAATTGTGTATCCCCAGTGATGTATGCAAATAATTTTTATTATGTATTTTGTGTTTGTCTGAGAAAAGTAACCGCATGGAAACATTTTTGAGTTGTGATTAGGTATAATTGTGGCCATAATGCAAGGCCAGTGGTTAAAATGCGTTCAAGTTTTTATATGAACGTTCTCGGCATGTATTATCATATATTTCCGGCAATGAATGTAGCTATAATGATTGTACTTATAATGATTATAATTAAATCTACTGTATAACACAAAAACGTCCTAGAAGTGCGACAATCATACCTGTTCAATACAGGGCGGTACAAACGGGGGAAAATGCAACTTACAATTTTTAGAAGTTGTATGTAACATCTTGTTTATAAAAAACACTGTCCCTCATCCAAGAAAAATCAGTGCTCTCCCCCAGCTCAAAAATTCTGCGTACGGCCTTGCTATTCTATTGTGCTTTTTCCTATTTTTATTGTTTTTATTATTTGGTGTTAAATATCAGACAGTGTCTTGGGCCTACTGGTTAAGCATAGCATATCCTAAGACCATCAAGTCCGAATTTCTCAAGATGCTACTTACATATTACTATCATTTTCGAATGAGATACACAAGTCACACATGCGCTTATTTTTACGCGAAGTAAAATAGCGCTTGTCCCGCAAACTAAAAGCGGAATTAACGAACCGTAGCATAAGCATATTGACTGGCTGTTCGATAATTTATTCGGAATTTCCGAAGGCACACGAAGTGTCTAAGTGAAAACACTGGAACGCGTTCATTTCGAAACGCGTTCAGAATGCGTTGGTCGCATTACGTTACTTCTGATCAGTACTGTACCTTATCTAGAATTGGAGAAGTGAAATGGGCAAAATTTGAGTCTTTTTTTAACCACATCATTTTTAATCACAGTGACATTTTGAAACCTCGTGTTTGGTTAACTAAGGGCAATGTTAAGTTTATGTTGAAAACACAAGACAGGGTAAAGTATTTCTAACCACCAGTAACAACATATATGTCTATAGGTTCTGTTGCATATGAAAAATTGGTGTAAGCACTTACTAAGAAAAGGCTAGTAAAGGCTGTTAAACAAGCATCATCTGTGGCCCAAACCAGCTGCTTGGAAGGATACCACTCAGTTGCTAATCAGTTTGCCCAAAAATGACCCATTACTCATACACTGGAATGCTTTGCAGGTAGATTACATATAGCAAATTGCTAACAGAAGAAATTTTGGAGTGAAGCAAGACTTTGTAAGTCATAAAAATTTACTTACTCGAATAAGATTAATGCAACGAAGATGTCACCAGATGTATTGTCAGCTCATTTGTAGTGCGATGTGGCTGTTCCTAATTAAGTTCCTTTCCTTAGACACTTCTTTAGCATATATTGAGCAAATTTATGAAACCATGACAAGTACTCCAAGAAAAGAACTGCATGTTCTGTCCATGTCATGAACTGTCCACCTACATGCTCAGGTAAAATTAGTTGCATTTTTTTAATCATTCAGTAAATAAAATAATTCAAAAATTCTTTTTAGATCAAGAACTGCAGGCTTTGTTGAGCAAAAAGTCTAAAGGACAGGCTGCAAGAAAACCACCAACATGCAAGACTTGTGGAAACCCAATGAAAGGTCACAAGAAGGTGGATTGTCGTGTAAATAGTTTGGACTATTTTGTAAATATTTTGACCACAGTTTTAATCATACAGTCACCATTTCATTTCACACAGCGTCTTTTCATCCTATGTGAAGACTGCATTCACCTCCCTTACCCTATTTATAATTATGTCCTCGTCATCTTCAAAGCCAGTGTAGTCGCGGTCATCTGTGTTGGGAAATGTCGAGCGTATCCTTTTGTAGCAGCAACACGGTAGTTGGATGTGTCGTGAGCTGCCAGTGAAATCCCACACCAAACGCACCAGTTGCCTGTATGACACCGCTCGTAAGAACCTGCAAAGATATACATATATAAATTGTCAGCAAATATTTACAGGACAAAAGTGTGGTTTACATTTAACGTTTAAAACTTACTCCGCTCTTGTCTTTTGACCTTCTCGAAACACAGAACTATAATTCCTGTGCCCTTTTGCCTTTAATCCCAACGACGCAATTTCCAAAACCCATGCATTTAGACACACGTCGTTAAAACCCGGGTGATCAACAATGAATTTTTGATGGCCTTCGTTTTCATGTTCATACAACTTATCCCTGCACTGACTTATTTCCATAAAAAAGCGACACTCTTCAGGATTCACAATCATGTCGAGGGAACAATTGCCACATTCGCACCTTGCAAACAAGAAAAGGCTTAAATAATGTTTGTTCTGCTGTATATAATTATAACAATTATACATACACTTACCAAGAAGTGACGTCCACTTGTGCTTCAAAACGTATTCGCGTATACGAGCTATTTTTACATGGGTAAAATCATGTCCAAAAAAATTTACACTTTTTGATGACAGATTTTCGTCACAGTGGCACTTTAAAAAAATGAAATAGATTTAGTAAAAGGCATGCCAAAAAGTTATCTATCTTATGTTTTTCCTTTGTAGTTGTGCCAGTGCGTTATGCCAGAAAAAACATTTGTAAAATTAAATTATGTGATGAAGTAAATGCGTCAGAGTGCGGTTTCCGAACCGGGACTATAAGTACATATAATGGCCGAACTATTAATTTCGGTAGCTATAAAGTATTGATTGTTGAGTATGGCGTTGTTAAAATCGTTGTAAAATATTAATTGAAAAACCAACGTGTTAGTTGTGAATCAGCGTGTGCAGACAAATTCGCTGAACGAATACAATGAATTCTGCGACAACAATGTGTTGTTTTATTTTTTACTTACATTCTCCTCTTTCACAAATACCATAATGCTTTGCGCTTTGAGGGGACTGCGATGTAAACAAAATGGGGGACAGACAGAAAATATCAATTGCGAAGCTTGTAAACTCGTTAACTTGAAGACGTTCAAGGACATTGCACAACTGTCGAAAACAAAATTAAAACATATCGCTAAGAGTTTGGACATTGACGTTGAAAAGTCGTTTGGAAAGAAAGCCATACTTAATCTTGTCTGTAATGGTTTAAACATATCAACTTCGTCTTCGAGTTCGTCTGTGCCGTTGCCCCAACCTGCTGAAGACCAAATCTTACCGTCGATAAGGCTGCTACAGAAACTAAAAAACTGGAGCAAGAGTCTCACCGGGTTACCGCAAGTTGTGGACGAGTCCATGGTAAAGACCTTTTTAGTTGGATCGGGTTATACCAAAGCGGACGTCAAGAAATACAAAACCCTTCGTGCTTGGGAGCACAAACAAGGAGTTCACTCTTTAAAGTAAGTATTTACAACAACATATCTAGTGCACAATATTTGTCTGTAGCAGAAACATTTTTTCCTAAAAATTTATACCTATATAAATATTAATATATTTCCGTTTTGCTGTTTTGCTGTAAATTAGGGTTCATTCATTACCAGAGTTTGAAAATATGTGGGTCCTAAGAGGTTGTTGCAACCCATCATTCTCCACCGATCCAGAAGAAATGAAGACAATGTATGTTGTCATGCACATGGAGACCAGCAAGCCATTATTTGCATATTGTACCTGCACAGTTGGGTAAGCTATTTTTGCAAATTTGGTGTGATGGTAGTAAGTGTGATGGTAGTAAGCGTGTTTTTTCCATCATAAAGTTTGCGAGGTAATTGCAGCCATGTTGGTGCTTTGTTGTTTGTCTTGGCTGACATTATTGCAGAAGGAAAAGTGCAAATCCCTTCAGACCCTACTTGTACGACTTGCCTTGCTCATGGACAGAACCTAAAGGTAAAATAATCTACATAATCTAACATGTCAGCACTGAAATAGAATACGATTTTCTGCACATTTTTCTTTGTAGAATCATCTTAAGAATTTTTGCTATCAGCTGCCTGTGAATTATTGTGGAATAATCTTTGCTCTTTTTCCAGGTGCCAAAGTAAAACCAGCAATGGTTGAAAATATAAATATTTACAAAGCTAAAGTGGGAGAGCAACCACCTGAAAATAAATTCCGACCATCTCCTGCAATAACAGAGGATTTGTACAAAAACAGTGATGAAAATCCCCTAACAAAGGAAGAACGAAAATCAAACTTGAGGCAGGCAATTCTAGAAGCAAATATGGGTAAACCAATGCCTCCATAGTTTACCTGTTATCCAAGGTGGAAAATGATTCTGCCCAACCTGCATCTGAGTGTAATCTACCAGACGTTTATATTTGTGAGAATTATAATGCAAGTTTAGCTATTTGTTGTGATATTGAGTACAGACTAGCTCATATGCAAATGCTGACAATAATGAAATTGAAGAAATCTTAAACATAATCCTGGTAATACAGTTTGCTTGCAAGAAATTCGAGAAAAAGCAGAAAATGTTTTGAGTGAAATATGTGTAAGCCAGAGGAAGTTGGTCAATAGAACGGGAAACCAGAGGCCAGCACAACAATCCACTGTGGTTTACACACCGCATGCCAAGGATAACTGCATCAAAGTGTAAGCGGGCAATTCAAAAAGTGACTACAAGTCCCACTAAAGCATTGCGTGACATATTGGGCTACAACAAGCGCATCCAAACATCATACATGCAAGATGGAAAGGATTCAGAACACAAAATTATAGAAATGTATGAACAAAGAAACAATGTCAATGTCCAACCATGTGGATTTTTCATATCTGTCACCCATCCGTTTCTTGGTGCAACACCAGATGTTTGGTTTGGGGATGAGGGTATAATTGAAGTAAAAAAGATCCACCCACACACTGCAGAATCCTTACTGGATGCCCTCAAAAGGCAATGTATATTAAAGGAAACAGGTGATCAAATCTCATTTAATAACAATCACCCCTACTATTACCAAATTCAACAACAGCTGTTTTGTTCAAGAAGGTTATGGGCTGATTTTGTTGCTTCAGATGGAAAGGCTATATTTGTTCTGAACACTGCTTACTGCCAGAAATTTTGGGAACAGCAACTACCCAGGCTTAGGAAATTTTATTATGACATTATTTTATTGGAGCTTGCATATCCTCGGGTTAAGTTTGGACACAGTAGAATTGGTAAACTTGGAATTACATATGAATCTCTCAGCACTGTTGTAAGAGAGGAATAATTATTATACAAATACCATTGAATTATTAGGGCTGCCCCAAGGGTTTCTAAATGTAATAAAGTAATGTAATACTATATCAAGTGCTCACTGATAGTACCACATATATATGTGCAGCAAAATTTACAATACCCACTGGTAATATTAATGAAATGCATTAATAATTTATTTATCCATTGTTGAAAACTTTAAATAGTTGAATTGTACATATTTTACTTATACTGTAATTTATTGTACAGACAAA